AATTATATTTTTTCCCCAACAATTAAAAAAATTATATATTTTTAAATCGATAAGTAAAAGTTGTATGTATTTATGGTGAAGAACCTGATGTTTTGGTATATATGCATGTGAAATTGCTAAAGCTTTTTTGTTAAGGCCCTGGCTAAAGCTATTTAATATAGATACATTACTTCACAACATTGTTTTGTGGTGAGAATATTAAAATCTACTTATTGCAAATTTCAAGTATATAATATATTATTATTTACTGTAGGCGCTATCTTGTACTCTTTGTTTCTATAAGTTTGTTTTTTTAAAATTCTGTAAAGGAGATCGCGCAGTGTTTCTCTTTTTGTGCTTGGCTTATTTTACTTAATGTCTTCCTGGTTCATCTATGTTGTCACAAATGACAGAATTTCCTTCTTTTTAAGCGTTGAATGGTGTTCCATTGTATGTGTATATATACTTGCCACATTTTCTTTATCTTTTTGTCCATTGATGGACACTTAGGTTGACTCTGTGTCTTGGCAATGTTGCACTGAGCATGGCAGGACAGATGCCTCCTTGATAGACTGTTTCCATATCCTTTGGATATATACCCAGTAGTGGTATTGCTAGATCATGAGGTAGTTCTATTTTTAATTTTTTGAGGAACTTCCGTACTGTTTTCTATAATGGCTGTACTAATTCACATTCTCAGAGTTGTATTCTAACTTTTTTTTTTTGTAGAGATAATGTCTCACTCTTGGTCCGGCTGGTCTCAAACTCCTGAGCTTAAGGAATCCTCTTGCTTTGCCTCCCAGAGTGCAAGGATTATAGGTGTGAGCTACTGCACCCCCTGATTTTTTTTTTTTTTTTCAGGTTAGAGTGTAGTGGCCAGACCATAGCTTGCTGTAGCCTTGAACTCTTGGGCTGAAGTGATCCTCCAAAGTAGCTAGGACTACAGGTGCATGCCACCATACCCAGCTGATTTCTTTAGTTTTTTTGTATAGTTGCAATCTTGGTATGTTGCCCAGGCTGGTCTTGAACTCTTGGCCTAGCAGTCTTTCTGCCTTGGTCTCTCAAAGTGCTAGGGTTAAAGGCATGAGCCACTGTACCTGGCACCCAGAGTTATTTTCTAATTCTGAAGTAAGTCTTTGTATTTTCTATTTTGTTTCATTAATCTAGTTATTAGACCTTTGTTATATGTTAGCATATATTTTCCTCTTTGTTGCTATTATAATCTAACATTTTTTGGGGTATTCTTTCTACTTTTATTCTTCTAGATGTCCTTGTTGATGATTTCTGTCTAGTTTCTTTTTTTTTTCTTTTAACTGTATTTTTGTTTGTTTGTTTGTTTTGAGACAGAGTCTCATTATGTCACCCTTGGTAGAGTGCTGTGTTGTCACAGCTCACAGCAACCTCACACTCTTGGGCTTAAGCCATTCTCTTACCTCAGCCTCCCAAGTAGCCGGGACTACAGGCGTGCCCCCCCACCCCCACCCCTCGCCCCGCTCCCCATTTGGTTGTAGTTGTCATTGTTGTTTGGCAGGCCTGGGCTGGATTCAAACCTGCCAGCTCTGGTGTATGTGGCTGGCTTCCTAGCTGCTGAGCTAAAGGCACCAAGCCTTGTCTAGTTTCCTTCCTTCCTTCCGCTTAAGCGTTCATCCTACCTCAGCCTTCTGAGTAGCTGGGACTACAGGCTGTGCCCCTACACTTTGCTGATTTTTCTTTCTTCCTTCCTTTTTTTTTTTTTTTTTTTTGCAGTTTTTGGCCAGGGCTGGGTTTGAACCTGCCACCTCTGACGTATGAGGCTGGCTCCCTACTACTTTGAGCCACAGGTGCCACCCACACTTTGCAAATTTTTCTTTCATAGAAGTGTATTTCTCAATGTGTTTTTATATCAGCTTCTTTGATATATGATCCATATATCATGCAGTCTGTTTAAAGTATACAATGCAGTACTTTTTAGTGTATTCACAGTTGTGCAGCCATCTCTACAATTGGTTTAGAACATCTTCATTTCCAGAAAAAGAATCCTATACCAATTAGCAATCATTTACAATTATTCACCTCCCTACCCTAACTTTAAGCAGCCACTAATCTATTTTTTTGTCCCTGTTGTTTTGAAATATATACCAAGTGTCAACAGAAGGGACTTGCTGGATTGTATTGTATCTATTTACAAATAAGCATGTAAATTGGTGATCAAGAGGCTATGTTTAAAGCAGGGCAGGGTGGCTCATGCCTTAGCACTTTGGGAAGCCTGGAGGCCAAAGCCCATCACTTGAGCTCAAGAGTTTGAGACAGCCTAAGCAAGATTGAGATCATCTCTACTAAAAAGAGAAAAGTTAGCTGGGCATTGTGGTGGGTGCTTATAGTTGCAGTTGTTCTGAAGGCTGAGGCAGGAGGAGCTTGAGGTTGCTGTGAGGCTGATGCCAACAGCACTTTTAGTCTGGGCAAAAGAATGAAACTGTTTGTAAAAAAAGGGGGGAGGCTATATTTTAGCTGTTTTTTGTTTTGAAGAAGGAAGAGATAGGAAAATAAGTTTGATATTTATTTACTTTTTCTTTGTTGCCCTTGATAGAGTGCTGTGGCATCACAGCTCACAGCAACCTCCAGCTCTTGGGCTTAGGCAGTTCTCTTGCCTCAGGTTCCTGAATAGCTTGGACTATAGGCACCCGCCACAATGCCTGGCTATTTTTTAGTTGCAGTTTGGCCAGGGCCGGGTTTGAACCTGCCACCCTCAGTATATCGGGCTGGAGCCCTACTCACTGAGCCACAGGCACCACCCAAAAATAAGTTTGATTTTAAACCCGGATAGAAGGAGATTTAGTCCTGGAATTTTGCCATTTGAAAGAGGGTCTTTTTTTTTTTTCTTTTTCTTTTAGCCAGAGTCTGACTGTGTCACCCTCGAAAGAGTGCTGTGGCATCACAGCTTACAGCAACCTCAAACCCTTGTGTTTAAGCAATTCTCTTACCTCAGCTTCCCAAGTAGCTGGGACTACAGGTGCCTGCCACAATGCCCAGTTATTCTTTTGTTGTAGTTGTTATTATTGTTTAGCAGACCTGGGCCAGGTTCTAATCTGCCAGCCCTGGTGTATGTGGCTGGCACCCTAAGCACTGAGTTAGTTTTAAGAGCAGCTTATTCCTGGCTTTAACCTACAAGCAAAAGACATCACTACTAATTGTTCTGTTCAGTTATGATAATAAGTTTTACATAGTTCTAAGTTCTCAGTAAGTGTTGGCAGTATTTATTATTATTACAAACACACCTCATGATCATCCCTTTTTTTGTGACGAGAGTGGTTAAAAAGTCATTTTTTTTTAGTGAGGAGGTGCGATTCATCTCTTGGTTTTTGGTTTGGAGATTTTTGCTCAAGAACTTTTTGTTCATCCTAAGTTTTATGTTAACTGTTTGACAGTGTTTTTGTTTATATTGTACATTTGCATAAATTAGGTTGAAAATTACTGTTTCTTGGAGATTAGGGAGGGATAGCCAAAATATGTATGATAGAAGACTATGATAATAATGTATCTTTTCTCTTTTTCTGTTTCAGTTTGAACAGAAAAGTGGTGCAGTTTTTGAGGAAATTGTAGAGAACTGTAAGTACCATTTGAGAAAAAAATGTCATTAGATAGGTAATAAATGTAAGTCTAGATATAACATTTAACTATTATAGTATGAAGGCTGATTTTTGTGATAGTCCAATCTGATTTTTGTTTGCATCTCATCACATCCTGTTAGTACTTTGTAGCAGGTTAATCTGAATTATAAGAGGTTTAGTCTTTTATTTTTTAGTAAATATTTTATTCTCAGTTACTAATATGTTGAAATATAGCCACACTATGTGAAGATGAGTTATATGGAAGATTGTACTTAACTGATCACTTTTAAAGGTTTTTACTTTGTTTAAGGTATCTTAATTTTCATTTTAGATTGTGTTACCAGATCTTTAAAATAAATTTTGTTTTTTTTATGATTATAAAAGTAATACATTCAGTTTTACAATACAGAAATGGTAAAGTATAAAGTAAAAGCCTTTGTCATTATCGTTCTTCAAGATAACCAATTTTAAAAGTTTAACATATATCTTTCCAGACTTTTTTCTCTGAGTGTATATGTATACATGGTATATGGGAATTAATTTATGTGTATAGGAATCATATAAATGCTGTTCTTTTTTCATTCAACTGCATGGACCTCTTTCTTGTCAGTGAATATAGACCTATTGCATCATTTTTTGATGGTTACTTAGTATTTTATTGTGTGACTGTATATTTAGTCCTCACTGAATGTTGTTAAGTTCTTGGAAACTGTGACTTTAAGTGAAATGATGTATAATAAAACCAATTTTACCATAAGTTAATTGGATAAACAAAAGTTCCTATAGCATATTTCTACTTACAAAAACATCACCAAACTTCTCAATAAAGATCCAAAACACTTTTTTTTCTTTTCTTTGTTGTTTTTTATTTCATTTTTAAGAAACATAGTTTCCCTCTGTTACCAGGCTGCTGGAGTGCAGTAGCTCGATCGTAACTCATAGCCTTGAACTCTTGGGCTTAAGCGTTCATCCTACCTCAGCCTTCTGAGTAGCTGGGACTACAGGCTGTGCCCCTACACTTGGCTGATTTTTCTTTCTTCCTTTCTTTTTTTTTTTTTTTTTGCAGTTTTTGGCCAGGGCTGGGTTTGAACCTGCCCCCTCTGACATATGAGGCTGGCTCCCTACTACTTTGAGCCACAGGTGCCACCCACACTTTGCTAATTTTTCTTTCTTTCTTTTTCTTTTTGTAAGAAACAGGATCTTGCAGTGTTGCCCAGGCTGGTTTCTCTCCTGGCCTCAAACTGTCCTCCTGCTCAGCCTCCTGAGATGCTGAGATTACCAGCTTAAGCCATTGTGCCTAGTTCCCAGTACATTTTCTAATATTAAACATTGAAAGAAATGTGAGCTATATACACATTAAGAAAGATTTATAAAACAAATTATTTACTAAATTTTGATGAATGATTGTTTTGGCATTTGGTTAATTAAGGAAATAAATGTTTGCAAAGCAAAAATTACAAGGAGCACCTCCTACCACTGCAACTATAATTCAAAAACAAACAATAGGAAAGTAGTGTAGGGATATTCCTCAGATAACTAAAAGTAGACCTACCATTTGATACAGCAATTCTACCACTACCACTACCAATTTTACCCAAAGGAGAAAAGGACATTTTAACATAAAGACAGTTGTACTCAAATGTTTATAGCAGCGCAGCCCATCAATACATGAGTAGATTAATAAAATGTGGTAGATACATGCCATACAGCAGTGGTTCTCAATCTTCCTAATGCCGCAACCTTTTAATACAGTTCCTGTGGGTTGCGACCCACAGGTTGAGAACCGCTGCCATAGAGTGTTATTCATCCATAAAAAAGAATGGTGATACAGTGTCTTTTCTAACAACCTGGATAGAACTAGAGACTATTCTAAAGAATTGAAAAACAAACACCACATGTACTTTATGCTAAATTTACTAAATTACTAAATATTAGTCAATCAATACTTCTATGTACATATGGAAGTAAAACTCAATAGGAATCAAGTAGGTGGGAGGGGGAAAGGGTTAATTCATACCTAACTTGTACAATGTACATATTCTGAGTGATGGGCGCACTTACAACTTTGACTTAAAATACACAAAAGCAAATTGTGTAACTAAAACGTGTACCCCTGTAATATTCTGAAATTTAAAATCAACAACAATAAAAAACATGGTGAGCTCACTGAGTACATTTATTGTCATGCATATGTGTGATTATCCTATACTTTATACATTTTTATTTTATTTTGCAATAATTTTTATTTATTTAACCAGTTATCTTACAAGTCATTCATTCCAGTTCAGGATCATGGGTGGCTGGAGCCTGTCCCTGAAGTACAGGGCAGAAGACAAGAACCAGTCATGTATAGGATGCCATTACATCGCAGGGCATACTCACCCCACTCCCCCACTCATTCTGGGATAATTTAGGCATGCCATTTAACCTAATAGGTACATCTTTGGAATGCGGGAAAAACTATGGAGTCCCTGGGAAAAACACATGTAGACATGAGAAGAACATGCAAACTGAGCATACAGTGGCCCCAGTTGGGAATGCATTTTTTTTCCCCCTCAATATTACAAAGTAATGTTGAATGAAATGACGTTAAGCACCTTCTGTACTATAGTTAAACTCGCTTCCTTTTTTATACATTTATAAATTATTACTATTATTATTGTGAGCAAGACTCTGTCACCCACACTCGAATGCCATGGCCTCAGCCTAGCTCATAGCAACCTCAAACTCCTGGGCTCAAGCAATTTTCCTGCCTTAGCCTCCCAAGTAGCTGGGACTATGGGTATGCACCACCATGCCTTGCTGATTTTTTTTTCTAATTTTTAGTAGAGACGAGGTCTTGCTTTGCTCAGGTTGATCTCAAATTTCTGACCTCAAGTCAGAAGGGTGAGGCCTGCTGCCTCGGCCTCCCAGAGTGCTAGGATTATAGGGGTGAGCTATTGTGTCCTGCTGTGAAAATCATCCTTAGCTTATGGGCCGCATAGAAACTGTAGCTGCTCTTGGATTTGGCATGTAGACATAATTTACTCTCCCTTGATGAAAGGTATAAATGAGGAGATGATTATTCAGGCCTAGCATGTGTACGTTCTTAACTTTCATAGAAATTCAAAACTTAATTTCCTTAGTACAGTTGACACTTGAACAACATAGGCTTAAACTGAACAGTTCTACTTATATGTGGATTTCCAATTTTTTTTTTTTTTTTTTTTTTAGCAAATTCAGTAAGCCCTCTGCATCAGGTTCTTTATCTGCAATCAAATATGGATAGGAAATACAGTGCTCTGGGGTTGGAAAATCTACCCATACAGAAAGTTGAGTTTTCATATTTGTAGTTCTGGGCCAACTGGGGGACTTGACTTTCATGTATATTGGTTATATTTTTATTTTTCTTTTGCGAAATGGCTGTTATTTAAATCTCTTGCCCACTTGCTGTTGGGTTGTTGGTCTTTTCCTTATTGAGTTGTAGGAGTTCTCTAAATACCATGAACAAAAATTAACCAGTTTTAGGTGGTACAGTTTTCTTGTCCTAGTTTATGTCTTCTCTTTGTCCTTATAAAATCTTTGCATGTGTAAAAGTTAATTGACTTTAATGCAATGAATAATAATAAAAATAGCAGTTTTTTCCTTTACTGTTCTCTTTTCATTTTATTTAGGAAAATCTTTACTAGACTGAGGTCAGAAAGACAATTACAGTTGATTCTCTGTATCCGTGGATTACATACCTGCATATTCAACCAACTACAGATTTAAAGTATTTGGGGAATTTTTTTTTTTGAGACAGAGCCTCAAGCTGAGCCCCTGGGTAGAGTGCTATGGCTTCACTGCTCACAGCAACCTCCAACTCCTGGGCTCAAGCAAGTCT